ATAGATAGATAGATAGATATTTTTTGGTAACATCAACAGATTGCTCAAGATATAGATGTACTATCACTATATGTCAGGACAGAATAATGCTCCTCTTTCCTAGAAATATCCAAGAATTTCTTGGCCTTCTTTAACTCCTACTAGAGTTTATTTTCATTTTATATTGTCAAATTCAGGGTTTTGTTTTGGTTTGCTTTTTTAAATTTCTTCTTGTGAACTGGGTGAATGTTTATAGAGCAAATAATCAGTTTTACATTCACAAATCCATATGCTGTTTGGTTTGCTTTTGTTAAAAAGTAAAATAAATTCAGCTTCTAAAATAATTAACTAAGTTATGAGTTTTTAACAAGTTAATTTGCAAACTAAGAAGGAAATATGCACACTAAGAAGTTGATTCAATGAAGTAAATTTTAAACTAAAATTGAATTCTAAATAATATTCAGTAAGCAAAACTATAAAACAATATATTGTAATGTCTTTATACTTACAGGTAAATGAGTGAACACTTGAAAGATGCTTCTCAAAAAATTAATAAGATCCATTAAATAACCACTAGCTCTTCCATCTGGCTCAGACATTGTCCAGTCATAGTCAGCAAGCTGAACAAATTCATCAATTTTTTGATTAAGTTTGGTATATATTTCTCCTTCTGCTGCATGCCGGGCATCCTAGTATAAGCAAAGAACAGAGCAAAAATAAGGAACTATTAAAGAAGCAGGTAATAAAACAGATTTTCTTACATTTTCTATTTTCCTTTCTATTTCTCTTTTAATACTATGTTGTTATTGTTGTTAAGTGCAGTCGAGTTGGTTCCAACTCATTCGTTTCCAAGGAGTGGTTGGTGAGCTTGAACCGCTGACCCTGCAGTTCAAACCGACCTTGCAGTCCAGAGCATTAACCCATAGTGCCACACCAGGACTCCTTTAGCAATTCATTAACATCCAGGAAAACCATATGTGTATGTGTGCGCATTGTTTTTGTTAGTCTGTACACTTAAGTAGCCATCACATCTTTTCTCTCTTGTAACTTTGTTGTTGGTATTACTGGGTGCCACAGAGTGCATTTCTCCTCAGAGCGCACCCATGTGACAGAGCAGACACGTGACACAGGGTTTTCTTGACTGTGGTCTTCACGAAAGCAGAATGCCGGGCCTTTCTCCCATGCAGCTGATGGGGAGGTTCAACCTACCAACCTTTTGGCTAGCTGCCCCCATCGTTTTTTTGTTATATGGTAAGATGCTTTGTGAGGTATTAATCCCTGACTTGTTCTCACAATCGGAGAAGAACTCTAAGGAGAAGCAAAGTGCACAAACAGAAGCTGTTAAGAATGCAGAAGACCTCTACCATTATTTGACTCACTGAAGGGGATTACGTTGGCTGCCACAGAAAGAAAGGAGCCCTTGTGGCACAGTGAGGTAAACACTGGGCTGCTAACCACAAGGTCGATTGTTCAACACTACCAGTTGCTCTGTGGGAAGAAAACAAGGCTATCTGCTCCTGTAAAAGTTTAGTCTTAGAAATCCAAAGGAGCAGTTCTACTCTGTCTCTAGAGTCAGTATGAATCGGAATCAACTTGATGGCAGTAGGTTTGGGTTTTGTTTATCATAGAAAGAATGTAATATTGTTGGTGCTCCGAGGTGAAGAGGCAAAAACTTGGTGGTTAACTTATCTAAGTGGACAAAAGAGATGATGGGAGTAATGTCAGCAAAAATGACAGAGAAAAGATCTCCAAACATTCTCTCCTCCTTAAAAGCAACAAGAAAACTGACAAATGTGGTCAAAATCAATTTTTTCCAGAACTCTAGAAATTAATCAAAAACTGCAGCAATTCACACTGCACTTAATTAAAACCACTTATTCAAAAACAGCTGATTCTCAGTAAGAAAAATGAGCTTTGTGGCATTTTAATTGCTCTATTTCCATCCCTTCTCTCCTTGAAAAATCAACAACCCACAATTATGGTGAAAAACCAGAAACTTGGCCATCACCAAAGGGGGCAGTTGGAGTTTTATGACTTCACAGCTGCCTGAGTCAGTGGACAACTCAGTTATTGTTGGTGCAAATAACAGGCTAACCAGAAAGCTTCAAAGAAAAATCTAGGGAATGAGATGTCCATAAAAGCAAAAATGCAAGCCCACTGCTGTTGAGTCTATTTCAATACCCATGTACTACAGAGTGGAACTGATCCTCAAGCTTTTCTTGGCGAAAATCTTTACAGAAGCAGACGGTGGATTTGAAATGCTAACCTCTATTTAGGTCAGTAGCCAAGAATAAACTATCTGCACCATCCAAGGACCTTGATATGTCCATGGAGGCTTTGAGAAACTTACACATATTCCTGGGAATCTAGACAGCCATGCACATTCTTGGGGCTGTGTTCCTGTTCTAGAAAGATCTATGATGGTCCTAAGCTCTCACCTCTAGGTGACCTTGAGTTTCTGCACAAGCCAAAAATGAAAGTTAAAGCAAAGTTGTCAACTTCCCAGCTGAGTGTTAAAGGCATGACCCAAGATGCCACAGAGCACCTCAGCAAAGAGTTGGGGAAGTGCTGGTTCCAGGTGATTAAGGAAATGTATGTCCAGTTAGTAGTTCAGAGAATCTCAAAACAAATAAACAGGAAAAAGCAACAAACTCTGTGCACGGAAGGAATCTGATTTTCAGTGCTATCACATTATACTATTTAAAACGTTTAAAAATATTACAAAGCATATAAAGAAGGAAGTGTGTCCTATACACATGGAGTGGGGGCAACCACTAGAAACTGTCCCTATGAGCACATGAACGTCAGACTCCACAACTCGGAGACCCGACTACCACTGCTAACTGCTCTGAACAGGACCACATTAGAAGGTTCTGGATAGAATTAGAGACAATGTAAAATAAAACTCAAAATTATAAAAAAAGACCAGACTTACTGGTCACAAAGAGACTGGAGGAACCCAAAACTATGGCCCTTGGCCACCATTCAGTTCTGGAACATAATTCACTCTCTTGGCCCAATTCTTAGCCAAGAGGTATACAGTATATAGGGAAGGCAACAAAACTAGTGAGGTATGCTCACCATGCAGTAGCTAACCATTCAAGACCAAAAGAGCAACATTTACCTGGGGACAAGGTTCTGAGGGGCTGGGAATGAGACTGGAATGGAAACAGAAAACACTGGAGGAAGTGGGGTAACTGTTATTGCATGGAGGGATTGCAATCATTGAGATGAAGCAAGTGTTTCATTTGTTGGATATAAAACTGATCATTTGCTCTGTAAACCTGCACTCAGGTCACAATAAAAAGTCAAATAAATACAAAGAAACTGTCCCTGAGGAAGCTCAGAGGTTGGACTTACAAGATAAAGACTTCAAATCAACTATTTAAGATATATTCAAAAAATTAAATGTAACTATAATCTAAAGGAGCTCTGGTAGCGCAGCGGTTATGAATCGGGCTGCGAGCCGCAAGGCAGCAGTTCGAAACTACCAGCGGTT